TAGACATTCGTTGTCTGTTATATTTTACAATATATATTTGAATATATATATATATATATATGCGTATATATATATATATATATATATATATATATATATATATAAACTTAATACTACCCGTCAAAAGTGTAAATTTTCATTTCATCTTTCGTCTCATTTTTGTAAGTGTTATCTGATGATCCAGCGTCCCTTAAAAGGGATCTGGTGAAATAAATTATTATAATGGAACCTTAAAGTGATCTGTTCTTCTTATATATATATATATATATATATATATATATATATATATATATATATATATATATATATTTTATAACAATAAAATTATTAAACAATTAAAATCTTCAGACACGATGGTTTGTATATTAATATTCCTTCGTTTTTATTATTATAATTGGTTCGGTAAGCAAGGTCGAATTTACTGCTTATAAACTTGCCTACCGAACGCTCCATTGTGGCCGAGACGGTTAAGGCACATCAGCGTAAATGGCGGTTTCGTATAGGATGCAGGTTCGAATCCTGTCAAAGGACGGATATTTTCTATGAACATTTCTCGGACATTCAGTCCGGTAAATGTTATTTAATACTGTTTATTATAAACAGAGCATTTACTTAAATACTTGTATCTATAAAAAAAAAAGAACGTTAAACATAAAAATGTCTTTAATAAATAAATTGTCGGACTTTGTCCATTTCTTAATATATATATCTCAATTTGAACATTATTTTTACTATTTTTTTTATGAGTAGCCGCTTCGTTTATTTTCGAAACTCTGTTCTCCGTTACACGAGAAACTATTGTTAGATTAGACAATCTATTAACCGACTTGGGGACGAAGATTGTTGATGACTCAGCAAGGTTCTACACTGCCTTTTAAGCCTGTAGTTCTCATTCATATTCCCGATAGTTCGTAACTAATAAATAAAAAATAAAGCAGTTTCTAAAATCATGAGTTTCGTAATCGAACGTATTTTTTGTCACTTTAAACGGTATTTTTGTCGGATACCCGTATTTGAGTAGACGTTCCGATTATTATTTTAAACATTATTTATTTCCAACTCAGTTATGTACCAAGGGTGATACACGCTTAGGTGATCATTCGATACATGTAGAGGAGGAAGAAGAAGACTCATACCTTTCCCAAGGATATTAGCACGTAAGTGAATGGATTCGACTGGAATTCGAACTCGGCTCTCCGATTCCTTAGTCCGAGCCGCTATCCATTACTCCACCGTGGGAAAGTTCTGAACACTCCTCTTCCCCAGCTGTGGGTAAATAGCAGGACAGACCGGTTGTATAGCCTAAGTCTACCGCAGAAACAAATTGCAACCTACTGCGGGAAAAAATTTGCTTCGTCAGTCATGAATCGATAGATACATGATCGCCTATGCGTGTATCACGCATGGCACATAACTGATTAATTTAGAGTGGCTAGCAGAGAAACGGTTTATTCATTTCAAGATGTATATAAGGCCAATGAAAATGGAGAGCCGAGTTCGAATTCCAGTCGAATCCATTACATTCACTTATGTGCTAATAACCTTGGGAAAGGTGTGAATCCTCTTCTCCCTCCAGCTATGGGTAAATAGCAGGACAGACCGGGTTTTATAGCCTTTGATGGCAACTTGGGAAATGGTATGAATCCAATTCTTCTTCTCCCAGATATGGGTAAACAGCACGACAGGTTCTATAGCCTTGGATGGCAGAAAGAAATAGTAACCTACTACGGAGAAAAATCTGCCTCGTCTGTCATGTATCGAAAGATAGATGATCGCATAAGCGTGTATCACACATGGCACACAACTGATTAATTTAGAGTGGCTAACAAGTAAACGATTTATCCATTTCAACTTTTGTCTTTTAAGATGTATATATGGTCAATGAAGATGGAGAGCCGAGTTCGAATCCATCGAATCCATTACATTCATTTATGTGCTAATACCCTTGGAAAATGTATGAATCCTCTTCTTCATCCCTACCCCCAGCTTTGAATATATATATATATATATATATATATATATATATATATATATATATATATACACGTGTATGCATATATACTACTCGACTATCCCGTCGAATTCGACATACGAGGGACAAGCAGATCAGTTCCCAGGAAACCGACAGCCCGACAACAGCACATGAGATTTGATTATAGTGGTGAAGGTTTCGTGCAGGACCATCCACACTTTTCGAAGGGCCGAATGCAGAGACTTTGTGCACAATGTGTCACAAGGTCCCCAAACAACCCCCCCGCAGGTTTTGAATTCAGAGTTGTCCTTCTCGTAGACCAGTTGCCATCCAAGGTTATAGAACCCAGTCTGTCCTGCTATTTACCCACAGCTGGAGAGAGAAGAAGAGGATTAATACCTTTCCCAAGGATATTAGCATGTAAGTGAATTTAAGGGATTCGACTGGAATTCGAATTCGAACTCGGCTCTACGATTCCTCAGTCCAAGCCTCTATCCAATACCCCACCGTGCCTGTCTCTCTCTATCTCTCGCTCTCTCTTTCTCTCTCTCTATATATATATATATATATATATATATATATATATTTTTATATGTTTTTTTTTTGTGTGTGTGTGTGTGTGTGTGTGTGTGTGTGGATTTGAAATAATCGTACCATAGGCCAAGCATGTAAGCAACGACAAACTTTTAGAGAAAACAGAAACAAAAAGGAAAGTAATATGGAATCTAATTCGTTGCCTCTTTGTTACCAAGGCCCGTTGGTACAGTTGGTATGGCGTTTGCTTCCTATCGTAACTGTTCGGATTTCAATTATGTTAACTAAAATTTATAAAAAGATAAAAAAAAATGATTACGTTCAAAATACCCTACACTGACCAGCGTCATCAGGTTCAAAATTTTACCCCCTAACAAAAAAAATATAAATAACTAAACAACTAAAAAAAAGAGCAGGCACTGCTCTATGTTGCATTAAATAAGTTTCATTAAAATAAGTTTAAATCTACTTGGATAGACGTAACTAAGGTTTTTGATTCTGTTGTTCCTCGAGCTAAGCGCCTTTCTTTATCTGTACCAAATAATACATGTACACTAAGTAACATTTATATGTGTTATTCGCACATCGACCCCCATATGACCCTTCATCGATATTTTGAATATAATCGAAACCCTAGAACTCCTCGTCAACCCCTTAGGGGGTCACTCGGATCCCGCTTAACGAAGCTCATTTTAAATCTCTTAACGTTCTATATTAATTTGTATCAGTGAAGTGATATTGTTATTAAGTAAAAACTATATTTAGTAATAATAAATTGTAAAGTTTCCTACAATTTATCGATGGCCAGTGTTTAAAAAAGATTAAATTTTTTCTGTGTGTATTCACACGTTATTTCTGTAAATATACATGTCCAAATTTTACAAGCTTCTTCCTCATCATTTGTCTCAGGGATTTCAGCTGTTTTTTTTTTCCTGGTTCTGAGTAAAAATGTTGCAATTTTCTTTGAGATATCATTGTTTCTTATTCGCTCCTTCCATAGAATTCTTAGTATCTTTCTGTAGAACCACATTGCTGCTGCTTCTTTTTTTTTTCTTTCCTTCTTGATGTAACAGGGGAGGTCGCTTTTGGACCCGTGATATTGCACTCAATTTGAAAGTTGGGGGTTTGACATAAGAGATAGTTATACAAAATATTTTTTCCAAGTCGTCACTGTATTTTGAGGAAACGAGTTGAAAGAGGAAGTTCACCTTCAAAATCGTAGCGTTGGAAATTCATTACAGTGATTACAGAAAGCCTTAAAATACGGCTTTATAAAATTTGTAATTTACTGAAGCTTGTATATGGACATGAGGCATGGCACAAAAAAAACGTTATTACTAAATCATTGTGCCATCAAATAAGACCTTCATTTACTTCAAAGGGAATTTATATTGAATAATTTAGCTAAATTATGATGTTATATGGTATACAGTGCAGTAGACTTAGTGTTATTTTCGATAAACAATACAAGTTTAAAACATTTTATCTCATAATGTGTTCACCGCAGTATTATGTTTTTATGACACTTTTTTATTTTTTTGTTTTTATTAATTATGATCTAAAAAAGATCTAACAAATCTTATTCATTGAGTAGCCATTTTGTGATCTTTTACAATTTGAAAGAAAAAAAATGAAATCTGTAGTAGCTGACAGATGTGACATTATACGTCATAGAAACACTAACAGAATTCAGAAGTAATTGAACGTGACAAACATGAAATGCGTATGGTGTCGCGAGATCAACATGAAAGTGTCCTTTGTTGTAATCAGACAACAACCTCACTGGATGTCCAAGACTTCCAATGCCAAGGTTGATCGCTGAAGTGACTGTTTCAATCCAAAGCTAACCATATCCTACGTTGTGATTTAAGGCTGATTCTAAGGCAGCCAAGATCGAATCGTTGCGGGTATCGACGTGTTGGGCTGGTCCAAGCAGGGCGATAAGGTACTGTTGTGTCGGAAATCTACCACCCCTCTTGAAGGTGAACTTGTCTGCGAACAAAGACTTTAAATAGTGGCATGTCAGTTGACATGGAAGACAGATAGACCGAGAAGTTCTTAGCTGATCTAGTTTTTGACTACTCAGGCGATTTCTGTACCTTTTTACCAATCTATTAAAACCCTTTTTATTGTTACGTGTTATTTGGTGTTTGTCTCTACTAACCCCAAATCAACATCATAACGGGTACAGAAAAAATAACACTGGAATAAAGCGAACAAAAAGTAAATACTGTTTTTATATCAGTCCTCCGTACAATAATTGGTTTATATCAGAGTTCACACGCAATTAATTATCAGCACGACCAGCATCTAAATCGGGATACAAATATTCTTGACTTGGTAAAATCTGGTTTGCGGTTTTGGTAAAGTTTGGCAAAAAGGTGCAGTCGGAGGCTTTAGTCGGCAGATAATCACGTGGGTCTCTCTCCTATCTCTGGTCTGGTCACTGTCTCTTCTACCCCTCTTCTACCCCTCTTCTCTCTTCTGCGACAAGTCTCTGTCTCTTGTGTCTCTCTTCTCTCTTCGGCGACGCGTCTCCGTCTCTTCTGCTTCTCTGCCCTCTTCTGAGACTCGTCTCCGTCTTCTGCCTCTCCACTCTCTTCTACAAGTCGTCTCCATCTCTTCTGCCTCTCTCTTCTCTCTTCCGCGACGCGTCTCCGTCTTTTCTGCCCTGCTTCTCACTTCTGCGACTCGTTTCCGTCTCTTCTCTCTCTCTCTTCTCTCTTCTGCGACTCCTCCGTCTTCTGCCCCTTTTTCTCTCTTCTGTGACTCGTTTCTGTCTCTTCTGTCCCTCTTCTCTATTCTGCGACTCGTCTTGTTCTCTCGTCTCTCTCTTCTCTCTTCTGCAAATCGACTCCGTCTCTTCTGCCCCGCTTCTCTATTCAGCGACTCGTCTCCGTCTCTTCTGCCCCTCTTCTCTATTCTGCGACTCGTCTCCGCCTCTTCTGTCACTCTTCTCTATTCTGCGACTCGTCTTCGTCTCTTCTCTATCACTCTCTTCTCTCTTTTGCGACACGTCTCCGTCTTTTCTGCCCGTCTTCTGTCTTTTGCGACTCGTCTCCGTTTCTCCTGCCCCTCTTTTCTCTTCTGCAACTCGTCTCCGTCTCTTCTGCCCCTCTTCTCTCTTCTACGACTCGTCTCCGTCTCTTCTGCCCCTCTTCTCTCTTCTACGACTCGTCTCCGTCTCTTCTGCCCCTCTTCTCCCTTCTGCAACTCGTTTGCCCCTCTTCTGCCCCTCTTCTCTATTCTGCGACTCGTCTCCGCATCTTCTGTCACTCTTCTCTCTTCTGCAACCCGTCTCGGTCTCTTCTGTCACTCTTCTCTATTCTGCGACTCGTCTTCGTCTCTTCTCTATCACTCTCTTCTCTCTTTTGCGACACGTCTCCGTCTTTTCTGCCCGTCTTCTGTCTTTTGCGACTCGTCTCCGTTTCTCCTGCCCCTCTTTTCTCTTCTGCAACCCGTCTCGGTCTCTTCTGTCACTCTTCTCTATTCTGCGACTCGTCTTCGTCTCCTCTCTATCTCTCTTATCTCTTTTGCGACACGTCTCCGTCTTTTCTGCCCGTCTTCTCTCTTTTGCTACTCGTTTCCGTCTCTTCTGCCCCTCTTCTCTCTTCTACGACTCGTCTCCGTCTCTTCTGCCCCTCTTCTCTCGTCTGCGACTCGTCTCAGTCTCTTCTGTCCTGCTTCTCACTTCTGCGACTTGTTTCCATCTCATCTCTCTCTCTCTCTCTCTCTCTCTCTCTCTCTCTCTCTCTCTCTTCTCTTTTCTGCGACTCGTCTCCGTCTTCTACATTTCTTCTCTCTTCTGCGACTTGTCTCCGTCTCTTCTGCATCTCTTCTTTCTTCTGCAAATCATCTCCGTCTCTTCAGTCCCTTTTCTCTCTTCTATGACTCGTCATTGTCTCTTCTTTATCTCTTCTCTATACTGCGATACGTCTCCGTTTCTTCTGTCCGTATTCTATCTACTGCGACTCGTCTCCGTCTCTTCTGCCCCTCTTCTCTCTTCTGTGACTCGTCTCCGTCTCTTCTGTCCCTTTTCTCTCTTCTCTCTTCTATGGCTCGTCATTGTCTCTTCTCTATCTATTCTCTCTTCTGCGTTACGTCTCCGTCTCTTCTGCCCCTCCTCTTATCTAGTCCGCGACTCGTCTCCGTCTCTTCTGTCTCTCTTCTCTCTTCTCCGACACGTTTCCGTCTCTTCTGCCCGTCTTCTATCTTCTGCGTCTCCTCTCCGTCTCTTCTGCTCCTCTTCTCTCTTCTGTGACTTGTCTCCGTCTCTTCTGCCATTCTTCTCTCTTCTGTGACTCATCTCCGATTCTTCTGCGACTCGTCTGTGGAATTCGCTTCGCGCGTTCGTATTTATTGACATTCTCCCAAATTGGCGAAGTAAAAAAAATTGGATGATTCTGGGGAATTCCCTTCTTCCACTCTCTCATATTATCACCTCTCACTAAATCTCTTCAGTCAGCGTGGGTGGCTTATCCACCCTCTTCTGGTATTTCAACTCAACTTTCATCCAGGGGAATCAACTCCAAATCCTTTGTTTACGAAAAATGAAATTTTCGCTTTGCAGCTCGCATTTGCACCATTGCCCCCTAAGTTTGGGTCACGTTTCCATTATCCAAACTGCTCGACATACAATTCAAGTCGTTTATGTGTGAATTAAATCCTCAATTCTTCCCACCAGTTTTGGTATTAACCCTTCTTTTTTCAATGTCTCTCCTCACATAACACTTTCTATTGATGAAAAAACTAGGTTAGGTTTTATTCTACCGCGGCAACAACAAATAGTATCACACTGTGCATATCGTTTTAACACTTAAGAAATATTCCTTAAAACATTGCCAAAATGGTTCTATGTTATATGCCGTGTATACTCAAAACGTTGGCGTTTACAGCTCTCCACATCTTCTTGTCGCATGTAGCTCTTAATAAACTTTGTATTTCTATTATTTCAACTAAGTCCTATCCCGCCATTCGTTTACTGAAGCTCATTAATTATGTTATGACTTGTTTTCCTTTGTGTCTCTTATCTTCAATCTGTCCTGTGAGTAACAGAATTTCCAAGCCATCTTTCCTCATTATGTGGCCCAGAAATCCCAAAGGTCTCATCCTTTTGTTAAGTATTATTTTCCTTTTTGTTTCCGTTTTCTCTTTGACGTTGCTCACATGTTTGGTTCATGGTATCCTCAATATCTTTCTGTAGAACCACATTTCTGTTGCTTCAAGTCTCTTCATCTTTGAGGAGATCGTCCATCACTCACTGCCATATAGGAGAACAGCTATCACATAACATTTTAGTACTCTTTGCATTGTTTCTAGCAGAGATATTTTGTTTCTTAGAACCCTTCTTAGCTTTTGGAATGCTTCCTTGGTTATCCCAGTAAGCCTTCGGATCTCAGTGTCACCCTTTTCGTCCGCTGTTAAAACACTTCCCAGATATTTAAAATATTGTACTTGTTTTATTTTAACATATCTTTGTTATTTTGCATATGAGATTGTTTCTTTTTCTAACAAACATAGCATTCAGTCTTCTTGTAATTTATGTTTAGTCCTTTCTTCTTGCTTTCCTTTCTCTATCATATGTAGTTCTTGTAGTTGCCTTTCCGTGTCTTCTATCAACATTGTGTCGTCTGAATATCACGTTGTTATTATTGACGCCCCCATCAGTCATCTTGTCCAGTCAGGTACCATGCATGTTACATGAGTTTCGATACATAACTGACGAGGCAGATTTTTCCCGCAGTAGGTTGCCATTTCTTTGCCGGTCTGTCTTGCTATTTACCCATAGGTTGCCATTTTCATTTTAGAACATAAGTGAATGTAATGGATTCGACTGGAATTCGAACTCGTATCTCCATCTCCATTGACCATATATACATCTTAAAAGACAAAAGTTGAAATAAATAAACCGTTTCTCTGTTAGCCACTCTAAATTAATCAGTTATGTACCATGCATAGCTAGAGCGTATCTTTCGATAGAGGGGCATTCCACATTAGGTTGCCATTTCTTTCTGCGGTAACCAGGTGCCATCTAAGGCTATAGAAACCGGTCTGTTCTGCTGTTCACCCATACCTGGGGGGGGGAGAAGAGGATTCATAACTTTCGCAAGGGTGTTAGAAAATAAGTGAATGTAATGGATTCGACTGGAATTCGAACACGGCTATCCATCTTCATTGACCATATATACATATATACAAAATTTCAAAATGAATAAACCGTTTCTCTGTTAGCCACTCTAAATTAATCAGTTACGTGCCATGCTTGATTCACGCTTAGGCGATTACGTATCTTTCGATATTTAACTGTCGAGGCAGATTTTTTCCCGCAGTAGGTTGCCATTTCTTTCTGCGGTAGACCAGTTGCCATCTAAGGCTATAGAAACCGGTCTGTTCTGCTATTTACCCATAGCTGGGGGGAGAAGAAGAAGATTCATACATTTCCCAAGGGTATTAGAACATAAGTGAATGTAATGAATTCGATTGGAATTCGAACTCGTCTCTCCATCTTCATTGACCATATATACTTCTTAAAAGACAAAAGTTGAAATGAATAAACCGTTTCTCTGTTAGCCACTCTAAATTAATCAGTTATGTGCTATGCGTGATACACGCTTAGGCGATCATGTATTTTTTGATACATGACTGACGAGGCAAATTTTTTTCCCACAATAGGTTGTCATTTCTTTCTGCAGTAGATCAGTTGCCATCCAAGACTATAGAACCCGGACTGTACTGCTATTTACCCATAGCTGGGAGGAAGAAGAGGATTCATGCCTTTCTCAAGGGTATTAGCACGTAAGTGAATGCAATGCATTCGACTGGAATTCGAACTCTGCTTTCCGTTTTTCAAAGTTGATGACATCTATTTCCATCAGAATCGTTTCACTGTATAGGTGAAATAAGTCTGGTGAGCAGGCACACCCTTGTCTTACACCTCTTTCTATTTTTTGTATATTTACTGAATTCATTTTTGATCGCCATGCGGGCGATTGCTGCCAGTAGCGATTCTAGATTATTCGAATGCTCTTCCCAAATATGTCAAAGTTATCTGGAAGTTCCAACAGTACTGGAAATTCTGCCATGATTTTCAACGCCAAGAAGGAATCATGGTAGGACTTCTAATTGTGTCGCCCTTCCCGTCCTCTGTTAAAAAAACTCCTCCCAGATATTTACATGTCCGGACTGCTCTGAATTTGGTATTTTTGGCAACTAGCACTTTGGGATTATTGCTACATGCATTCTGTTTAAGCGTTTCACCCCAAGCAAGGCGAGAAACCACTAGGACGCAAGGGGTTACAGAAAATTTGGAGCAAGATCAGATAGGAGTGATAGAAGAAATGATGAGGAGAAGGATAGTGGACAGATCAAAGCAACTGGATATGTCGATTGACATTACATTTGAATAGTTGGAAATTACAGCTCTCAGGGAAACTGGAATAGGGAAGGGAGTTCCACAGGCGAGAGGTACGAGACATGAAGCTATTGGAGTAGAAGAGACGACTACATTTAGGAGTTTCGACAGTTAAGGGGTGAGAGCGGGATACCAGCCTCGTAGGGCGCTTGAACTCATGAAATCTGGGAACCACCGAATGCAGCTCCTCGGAGCAATTGCCATGAAAGTATTTGTAGAACAGACAGAGGGAGGCAACGGCGCGTCTGTGAGAAAGTGACTGTAGACGAAATGCCAGAACAGGGCCAATTATATTGCATATCCGCCTCTGGAGCCTATCAAGAACCCTGAGGCAAACAGAAGGGGCTCCAGACCATATATGACAGCAATACTCCATGTAAGTGCGAATTGTTGATTTGTAGATCTGGAGGATCGATTCCGGGGAGAGAAATTTCCTGGCGGGGCACAGAGAGCCAACTTTCCTTGCGGTGGAAGAAGCAATTGACTCAATGTATTTGTTGATCTTGAAGCTGATAGTTAATCCTTTCTTCTCGCTTTCCTTCACTAACCTCTGTAGGAGTTTTTGTAGCTTTCGCCACAAAGGCTAAGTTTTTAAACAAATGGATCCGTGTATTTAATCAATGAACGCCATTGGCTGTTCTGAAACGATTCTGTATTGAGGAATTCTTATAAAAATACAAAACGCAAAAATGAAGAACCAGGCAAATATCTTCTTCTTAAAGATATTATGGCCGGTGAAGATCACAACCAAACGTATAGAGATATTTGCTCGGACACTTCAGGCATGCTAGATCGCCGACAGGTTGATGTATATCGAACTTGGACCGATCCGTTTCCTTGTATATTGATTTATCGATTCGGAAGTTTTCTATAGAAGCCAGTGACGAACAAGTAATCTGAAGCTGTTATTGATTTCTTTCGTTTGCTTTCCCCTGTGTGTGCGTGTGTGTATGTGTGCGTGTGTGCATGTGTGTGTGTGTGTGTGTGTGTGTATGCGTGTGCGTGCGTGTGTGTGGGTGTGTGGGTGCTGTGAAGGAAAATTGGTTAGGGTGAAAGATTAGAGAAAGAAAGAAAAATATCTCCTAATAAATAGCCACATTGTTTGTCGGAAAAATATTGTATTTCTGAAATAGGATATATTTGATAGGGTCAGCTGACCCGCAAAAAGCAAAAAAGAAGTACATGGCGAGTTTGGCTGCCATTTTCATTAGCCCGCTAGTTAAAGAATCAGAAAATTAGCGTGAAGTCAATAAATCCTGGTTAAATAATAATTTCTCCCTTCAAATATTTTCAGTGAAAATTTTCGCCTTGTACTGAACAGCTAGAAAGATGATGTCTTTCTCACTTATATCCACCTCTTCTTAACTGAGATGCTGGCAGAATTTCCATTCCAGGGACAATAAAAATTGTCAGTACATAGCATATGTTGTGGTATTTAACACGACAAAAAAGCTTTCTCCTGGTGAAAAGGCGGTTGATTGCTTTTCTCAGAAAGAGGCACAGTCTGACCAAGGTATATTGATCTGAACAAATTGTGAAGGCTAAAAACTAATTTGGCTCACCATTGATCAACAAATTCTTTTTCGAACCACCGCCATAACCGTAAATGATATCGTGACTAAGTCATATTTTCATTGTTAAATCCATATTTGAGCACTGTCTTCTCTTGCCGTTCTCTCAAGTGCACACAGCCACACGCATGCGCGTGAACACAACACACACCTATATATAGGTTTAGGTAAATGAAATATATGTCTATATTTCTGAGATGAGGTATTATGTATACTATTTACATTACTCGGACTATTGTCCTCATCTTTGTCGCCATATTTATTACAACTTTTCAGCCGGTGTACGTTCCGGCCTCCTTCAGATGTCGAACTGAACCCT